AGAGAGAGAGGGAGGGAGGGAGGGAGAGAAAAGGAAGGGTTGTAGAACAAAAGGGATTTCTAAGAGAGGAATATATGAAGTGTGTAGAAAGGAGAAGGTACTTACTTTTAATAAGGTAGGTACGGTGAAGTTCGGTTCGCTTCGCTTCGGCTACCTAGTATGTACCAGAGTGAGCCCCAAGGGACGAAAAACAAAATCGCTAGAGTTCTGGTAACTATGTATATACAAAGAGTTTAATCAAGTTGGTATCGTATCGTATGTAATAGTATCGAAGCGAAAGCAGGCAAGCAGGCAAGCAGAAAAGCGCTCAGTTATCATTCCCATTCCAACCATGTTGTCATCGTCGTTGTCGTCATCAGCAGCAAACTCCCCCTATCCATACATCGCAGAATACCTATTCAACTCCTCCATTCCAGCGCAAGACCTATCCCGCTTGGCCCAGAACCAACATTCGCTCCAATTCGCTCATTCAATACCGTCTTCCGCCACCGTAGAGGTCGTTATACTCCGGGCCCCGTCCTTTCTCCCGATACCACTCTTCCGCGGGGGCGCCTCTGTCCCGGGGATCGATGGGTGCAGATCCTCGTTCGTACGCTGAGCCTCGAGAGGATTCTTGCTCGTGGTAGCGGTCCCATTTCTCGGCGTCGCGGGGACTGTTAAATTGAGATGTGAATCTGGCGTCATCCTCTTCGTTACCAGGACGGCGATGTCGATCATCTCGAGAGCGGCGGTAGATATCTATTGGTGGTGGACCGGAAGGCGGAGGGGGAAACACGGGGTCAGAGCCCCGATGGCCGGGAGAGAACGCTGAAGACGGATTGTTGCTAAAGCCTGAAGACGAGGAGATAGGGCTAGGCCCGTATTTGGAGGAGTGGATGTCATCTGGGCTAGACTGGCTGAAATTTTTGAACGGGGGCGAGCTGCTTCTTCGATTTCCTCCAGCACGCGGCGGATGTCGATTTTGGGAAGTGGTGCTATTGGTGCGGATGTGCTGCAGGTTCTCACCTTCGTCGTTGCGGCTGCTGATGGAACTAGCCCTAGCTGGGCGCGAGCTCACGTTCAGGTTGTCGGCATGGATCTTCCCGCTGCCAGGTTGAGCTGAGTAGGGCTGGCGGTCGCGCTCGATTTTGACGCTTTCTTCGGCGTTGATGGATGTTTCAGAGGCGGAGGGAACGCCGCCGTAGGGTTTGCGTTCCCGTTCGATGGGTTGGGCCTTTGCTGCGGTGGGAGAGTTGCGGCTTTGGTGGATTTCGACGGGAGGATGGGAGCGTGTTTGAGAGGACGAGGAATGCCGGCTGAGGGGTGGGCTCGTGATGGCTGGTTTTCGCCGACTGGATGATCCGAGATCGTCGAGGAAGTTTTCTATGGCTCTGTCAAGAAGCTTCCTTGACGATCGATCTTCTCGCTCGGGTAGTAGGTATCGCGAGATTTGCTTGGGCAGACGTTCTGGCTTTCCGTCTACCAAGTCGCCATCGGCATCGATTGGCATGGCGATGACCACTTTTTCGAGCCTCTTGTATTCTTCTTCTGGGTAGGCCAAAATATTGATAGTCATCCAGTGAGCGAATCCAACGGCAGTGAGAGATGGAATAGTCGGTGCCGAGTGGGAGTCCTCTTGAGTCAAGTGGTGTTCGCAACCTAGGTCTTGGTACAGTCGGGAAATGTGTTCATTTGACTGGGCTCGGAAAATTGCTGCAAGAGATTAGCTGAGTCGCGATAGAAGTTGGCTCATACATATTACTTACTCAGAAGGGGATGAGGTTCCTTGTCCACTGAATGGGCAGCATAGTACGCAGCCATCTTGGACGGAGTAACAACAATCGTCTTCTTTGGCGAGAACTCCTCAATCTATCATCATATCAGCCCTGCTCTCCTCGAATTTCCGTCTCCCGAGTCTTACAATGTAATTTGCCAGTCCTCGAAAGAACTGGCCCAGTCTCTTTGTTGGCTTGCCATCAGTCTCAAAGAGCCTTCCCCATTTCTGGTCGATTGTAGAGAGCTCCACGGTCGAGTATGTCCGATTCCCTCCAGCAGGCCGAGTCGGAACCCCACGATCAGAGAAGCGTACTCCAGAAGGCTTGTCTAGGGGGCTGCTTGGGGCGAGTGGTTGCCTATCTGCAGATCGGTTTCCTCCAGCCAATTCCTCTAGTGGGCTGCCCGGGCTCGATCGCGCAGATTCTACAGTTGGAGGCATGTAAGATTGGGCGTATGTCTGCCTGCTCTTCTGGGTCGGGGACGGAGGCGTGTAGACCCTTTGAGCAGTAGGTGGAGGGGAAGATGTGTCGCTCGATCCTTCTCTATGCACAGGTGGAGCTTGGGACGGTATTTCAACAGCCCCAGTTTGCTTCAGTTGTTCAAAGACTGCACACTCGGCCGTCAGCAGGCGCAGGGCTGGGAGCTTGTCCTCCGGAAGACATACCTTCTCTCTTGACCTTTTCGGTAATCGCAGCTATCAACTCTGGCGAGACTCCATCGGGGCCAACCTGATCGGCATGCTCAGCACCCGTCGTCGTCGTCGTCCCCATCTTGCTGGGAGATTCTCGTCTGCGAGGGACTGCGGGTTCTAGGTGATCTCGGTGATGAAAAGGAGGGTTGCTATCTCGAGGCTCCGGGTCGTAATAAGTCTGCTGATGGCTCGTGTAATCAGGGGCGCTGGAACCGAGCGGATCGAAATAGCCAGGCTGCCCATTGCTTCGCAGCGGACGGCCGTAGGCGTCGTAGGCCATGCTGGGCGAGGCTGGGTGCGCTTCCGTCACCTCATCAATCGATGGTGCTCGAGGTTTTAATGGGGATCGGATAGGATGAGTGGTGAGAAGTAAGTGGTGAGGAGGATGTGACAGTTTGCGCGACACGAGATGTGAAGCGTACAGATGAATGGGAATCTTGAAAGGGGGTGGGTTTGCGCATAAGTTGAGATTGGAGCGTTGGAGTAGAAGGAGGTGGGGGTGGAGTGTAGTGTCGTCAGAAGTCAACGACTAAGGCAGAGCAGGGCACTGCGTGAAATATCGAGATTGATCATGGTCAGCCTTTTTCTCTCTTTCTCTCTCTACATACAGCTACGGCCCAATACACGTTCAAGTAAACGGTTTGCGATGGTTGACCTCGTACCTGGTGTGTGTACCTTATGTACCTTATATACCTATCTATATATCTATATATGTCTATAATATGATACAATATATATCATGTGCTTCGTACGGATATAGTAGTATATACGGAATACATACCAGGCCTGCCCACCTGACGGGGCCCAACATGGAGCCATGCCAATACCCAACCCACAGTAAAAGCATATGGTTATCTGTTCCGTAGCTCCGGTTCCGCGCTTTTGATTCGTCGCCCACCCGCAGTAAAACTGTAGAATACCTCGGTACTTACCTCTTAGCCAGGAACGGCCAAGAGCCCGACAGACATCAATAATCATCACGTGGACATGTACATCAAAGTCGCAGCTGGAGTCTTCTACAGTATGGGTGTCAGCCTTGCCCGATGCGGACCAACTTGTGAGGTTGACCGAGTACTCAATCTATCACTCGGCGAAGGCGCAGTGACGAATGAACGAGGCTCAGTCTAAAGTGCTGCCTGCTGTGGTTGAAAGTAATCAATCATACGAAAGGCACCTGGCAGTTGCCCATACTTCAAGTGCCCAAGGTCAGGGCGGAGAGGAGAGGAAGCATACAAGTGCATACATAGTAAGAAACATCGAGACACAGCATGTGGAGCACAGAGAGTCACCTAGTGTAGGGCGATATGAGGTTCATCAATTCATTGCTATCTAGACTTGCTTGCTTCAGTCCAAGTCCAAAATCTTGAGCCTTTTGTGCTTGTCGAGCAGGCCGCAGTCGCGAGTACGATGGCTCCTTCAGTCCGGGACCACAGATAAGCATGATATGATGAAGATAAATCAGCGCGTTGATCTAACCAGCACCTTGGTGATTGACTTTTAAGGCGCCTCGATAGAGTGCAGGGTCCGTGCATAGCACTTGACGAACAATGGGCGTTGCGAGTGACATGGATCGAAAAAGCTCGCGGGAGAAATGAGGGAGTTTTGGCTTCGAAAGAGGTCAGATGCGGCAGACCGTGGTCGCCCGGGTCACAGCAGGCGCTGCTTCCTTCCGACTATCAAGCAGGACCAACTCAAACTTTACATATCAAACAGACCATCCTCTCCATCGTCGTCGTTGCCGGGAGAAGGCTTCGGATTTGACTTTGCTTGATCCTTACGAAGTTGGACAGCATCGTAGACGATGTTGATTTTCTTGCCGATGGCTTTATTCCAGCCCGTGCGGGACTCCGTGATTGGTGCAACAGGGCCCCAGTCAAGACCATCAAGATCTGGATAGCCTGATGCCTGAGCAGCGGTCTGAGCTACATTTCCTCGAGGAGTTGCTGGAGAGGCATGAGCGGGAGCCGGAGCAGGTCGAGCAGGTCGAGTAGCAGCAGGAACGGGCGAGGCAGCAGACGGCATCGTAGAACCTGATGGTGTTTGCTCGGAACTGGATAGATAGCGTTGCTGCGGATGGGCATTACCTCGATTGTCCCAGCCAGTAAATGCGACAGCCTGCTGCTGTTCACGACGGCGTACATCGACAGGAACCCAGGCACTACCCACGCTACTTTGTGCGTTCTCGTATATATTGCTGACCGACGACACAGACATATTGTCGGAATTGTCATGCCGAGCAACGTTCGTCACACTAGGGCTATCTGTGTTGCCGGGGCGGGCACGAATCTTCGAAGAACCTACGACTGTCCAGGAAGGACGATGGCGATCATGCACAGTTCGAGAGCCAGTCAGTTGGGGTTGAACGTTGGTAGCTGGCATAACCTGAGAAGACGTAGCCGTGCTCGAACCCAACGACATGTTCTCAAGAGCAGCGGCTAGAGGAGCGTATGGAAGCTTGATGTAATCGCGGGGTACTGGGCCTCCCATGATTGTGGATGGAGCAGTTGTGCTAACTTGGGTTGTAGTGGTACTAGTGACAGTAGTTTGGCGATGGCCCGATTTCATCTTGCTTGTGGTAATTGTTTGGCGTGTACCTGTTGTAGTGACTGGTTGGGCTGGTTGGGTTGGGATGAAGTCAGAATCTTCGTAATCATTTCCGACAGCCTGCCAATCGTTAGTATCTTTCTCATTCCAAAGGTGCTGCCGGACTCGCATTGTAAGTCCAGTCGTATCCCTCATCATCACTGTCATATCCAGCCTCAGGATCAACGTAGTTAACAGCTGCCATGTGGCCGCCTGCCGCAACGTAATTTTCATCCTCGTCTGGTGCCAAGTCACCTGTTGGGGCTGCCTGCGCGGGTACACCTGGTTCGTTAGACAGCTTCCACAAAGTACAATCCTGACACCACTAGTACGCAAGTTAGCGGAGTTCTACTCATAGTTGGCTCACCACCACATACCTGATTACCACCGGCCGAGCGAGCAGACTTGCTGAACTTTTGTAGATCCTTCCACTTTCCACAGGGTCCCTCGCAGCACTTCTCCTGCAGAGGACCACCAGAGCATGGACGGCATCTCAACTTGGCCGAGACGCCATTGACCGCTGTTCCGTTGGTAACCTTCCAGGTATATCCGTTCAACTCCTTCTTCGAGAAACTGGCGGGCTCCTTCCACTTCTCACAGATACGGCACTTGTACCTGGTAAGGTGAGTATGCATCGAGTATGACTATTCGAGAGAGCCTACTTGTCAAGAAGCTTGACGCTCTGTCTCCTGAGATCCGTGTTAGTCTTGAGGCTATTGGTAGAGTGTAGATGGAGGCTTACTGCTTCGCTGTGAGCTCGTTGGCACCCCAAGCCATCTTGACGACTTGGTGAGATCTTTTCAGCTTGTGGCTGAGTGTGTGGTATGCTCCTGTGAATCTGATGGAATTTGGTTAGCTCTCTGCTAGGATGTGCGCGAGATGCGGCAGTAAGTGGGCCAAGGTCGATCGATAATCAGAAGCTTAGAGACGAATGGCACAAGCTGGAGATGATTTCGGCGTGCTGCCCCAAGTTCCCACCTCGATCTGTAAGGTTGTTGGCATGCTAGGATGGGGTCGAGCTAATTGGGCAGAGCGGATGGGTATGGTGAATCAAACTTGAGTCTGAGATCTTGCTAGCCTTCACCTTCAAACCTGCCAGACCAAAGGGCTGCAGTAAGAATTGACGGCACGTTGCAGATGAAAGGAATGGCCGCCACTTACCTTGAAGTCGACTACCAATATGGCTATGAGCCAGCCAAAATATGCAATGTAGTTGGACAACCAAGAGCGGCTGAGGCTGAAGAAGATATTTGGAGAAGGGGATGCTGTGGTTGTCGAGGAGGAGCAGGTTAAATTTGATGAGGAGGCATTTCTGGTAGATTTCATAGATTCACTTCCTTACTAGGCAGTCGAGCTTCGCGCTAATCTTGAGGTTGGGCTCCTTCCCCTTTCTTGAACAACAGCGGAGAAGGGAAGGAGTCGCATTTTCTAGGATTCGCCCATCACCACCAAATAGTGAATGTCTTTAGTATCAAATTTCTCCCTCAACCCCCCATACAAACGCAATATTTACTTGGTCTGGGACTCTGGATGATTCGCGCCGCCAGACCTTGCCGTACCCTCCCCTCCAGCAGCAAGCAAGTCGCCTTCCCGCATGAGCCGACACCACGAACGGACCTGCAAACGGAGATAGATGGAAGGACATAAAAAGAATTGGTACTCAAGATGTCGCGCAGATTGGTGCCTCGGCCCAGTCCATGAAGCAGCTTCGCAGAGAGGTCTTGGGATTCCGAGGGCCTCATACAACTAACATTCAAGGTGTGACTTTCTCGGCCAGCATTCAGCGATAGCATGGCCTCGTCAAGAATTTTATGGGCAAGACGTCAGAGACACAATACGCTCAGGCGGGAAATATCTTGAGATGAATTGTTCGGATCGCTTTGAGCCAAATGGTCTCTGGGGAATCAAGTCTGAGGCGAGCCACAAGCGTTGGGAGCACGCAAAGAGCAGCGCAAATGCATTTGATGACCGCAATCTCCAGTGAGGAAGTATAAAGCATGAATTGGTGCCAGTGGCCAAAATTTTACAAACACGCCTATTGCTATGCTTTCCAAGAGACGCGAAGTTATCGTCACTTGACGGGGGAGACTTCTCCCAAGTCAAGTGCAGCCTGCCAACTTTCTGGTGCCTGATGCCTGGTGCCCTGAATACGATCTCAATGGCTCGAGTACGGTACATATGCAGTCCTGTCATCCAAACACTCGGTTGGAGCTTGTCCAGCTTGTCTCAAACGCGCAATAGCGCACCACAAGTGGTTGATTCTTGCAGATCAAAGTCTGATCACGCCGCTATCGATTCATAGGCTCCTTTTAAGGAGGCCTTCGCGCAAGGCCAGAAAATACAAGTAGCAGAAACGCATTGAGCGGCGGGAAGAAAGAGCCAGAAGCGCTCCTCTCGGACTACTGAGCGTCCCGCAGACCCACGGCCGCTTGATATTATTCTCTGATATTTGTCGATTGAGCACTTCCAGTGACAAATGATGCTGGTTTGCCCGCCGCTAAACCTCTCTCACCATAAGGTTCCCGAGCCCCCAACGTTGTGGATGGTCTTGGGTGAAACGCAGCCAATTCGATCATTACGGGCAAGGGTCTCCAGCATTGTTGGCACATCCTGGAATGCCGAGGTATGATCTCCAGCCACGATTTGATGACCTACCAGAGGCAGAAAGGGGCAAGACAAGAAGAAGTGCAAGCAAGGCGACAGCAAGCGTCTCGTAGCTCGCCTGGTCAAACGAGAAGTGCAGCCCAGCCTGACCTCAAGTTACGGATAGGAGATAGGAGTACCGGTACCGGTACCGGTATCTCATCCAACGTGAAAGGAGGATGATTTCTCCGAAGCTTCCACGTTCATGAGATACTAGGTTCGCCGGACCATACCTTACAGTCTACAGCTAGGTACTAGCAGTAGTTGCTCCGTAAATAACGGAGTACCTACAGTAGCGTTGAAGCCACGAGTCGACCCCTGGGACCACCGGGCTGCTCATCTGCGGAAGGCGGAAGAGCTGCCACGAGATCAGGGCTAGGGCTAGGCTAGGCTAGGCCTACGGAGGCTACTACTAGTACCGAGTAGGTTGTAGTAGTACTCTAGTAGTAGTAGTACTGTAGTACCTAGCCCAGCCGGTACTACGTACTAGTACTACTTCTTCGTCCTCCTACCGTACTCTGTACTTCTATACGGAGCAAGAACAGGACAAGAGCGCCGCTAATACTTACCGAATGGTGTGGTGTGGGTGGCAATGCGCGGGCCTGCAGTGCAAAAAGGGGGCTTGCAGGGCAGGCGGTTGAGCCCGTCGTCGGCTGCTGCACCCTCGAGCGGGTGGGATATAAAAAGAGTCATATACCGAATGCTAATAGTAGTATATACTGCTCCCGATAATCACACCAGGCCAGTGCAGCAATCAAATCTACTTATAGAGAGATTGGGCCATCACCAATCTGCCCAGGGCCCGCCCGCCCACTCACTCTTACTCCGTACGCGCACTGATGGGATGCGAATAGCTACCGTACTCTACTGTACGGTACTGTAGGGACTGGATTAGCCAGCCAGAGCCCTGTTCACACTGTACAGCCCCGTGCGAAAGTCAAAAATCAGGAGGAAAGGAAAGGAGAGGAAAGGATGGATGGAAAATGAATGCTCCCATTTGATGCCGGTGCAGCCGTGCAAGGTACTACGCAGGTAGTAGAAAGAAGGCTTAGGTGAAGTATGAAAGTATGCAATCAAGGCCCAAGCGGCGGACGACTTTTCACAGTTTCCGTCCGCACGCCCCCGCTTGGTCCCATACAGTATTTAATGAATAATGAATAATGAATAATGAATAATAAGGCATCTATTCTTGTTGTGATTTTATTGTTGATGTTATTTATTACAGTACCTGGGACCTGTGGAGGATTTCCTGCCGAAGTAGGTACTGCAGATCGTGATGTGTAGAGGGACCGGCACTAAACAAGTGCCATCGGTGTTTAAAACGTCTATCCACCCACCTGTACTAGGAGGTAATTAGTAGTACGAGGGAGGTACCTACGTACCGGTAGTACTTACTGTACCTTACTACTACGTACAATACTTACTCGATTTATCCGGCTCCGCATCCAATCCAATTGCCCTCCACTCGTCTCTCCCTCGTCTCCTCTCCTCACCTTTCCTTTCAACTTCACACCACCGACGCTCCTTAATTGAACAAATGCCGTGCCTGTCATTGTCAATCAACTAATCCGGGTGCCCTCCTCTCTCTCTCTCACACACATACTCACACACACACATCTCTCGGATTTTTCTCTTTCTTCCACTCGTATTCCCGCGCCCAGATTGGGTTGATGATCCGCGGCCAGCTTGTTTCGAGTCGCGTCAACGTCAAATGAACAGCTGCTGCTGCGCTGGCATCATCCACCTCCCCCGGCCGACGCCTCCGATTCCCTATCTCCATTGCCAGCGACTGAGGCGCTTCTCGGACGGACCGCTGCTTCATTCTTTTCTGGAGCGAGGCCCTTGGAATTGAAGGTTGGTCGGTCGTTGTCTCGTTGTCGTCGCCAACACGAAATTCATCGAATCCGACTCAGCCTGCGTCGAAGTTTAGCATTTGTCGTAGCCAGCCCCCCTTGCCCGGGCCTGGATGGAAAGCGAAATTGGCTCCTGAGCATCGCATCCCATTCCCCGTCCCGTCCCCATCCCCCGCTCCTCGTCCCGGAGGATTCGATTCATGCCGAAGAACTGACTGGCTCCTGAGTCCTGAAAGCCCCTGGCTCTCTGCCCCCGGCCTTCAATTTCGAAATTCGACTTCGACCTCAACTTCGAGAAGCATCACCCGTCCAAGCCGCAGAAGCCCCCCCCCTCCTCCCCCCCCCAGCGGTGAAGCCTGCAGTTTCGCGGTCTGCTCTAGATCTCAACGGTGCCTCGACTTTATGCAACCCGCTCTACTCCGTCTTCCGTAAACTATCCGACCCCAAGCAGTCACCCACAGCTCATCAGCCAACAACGGGCCTCTTTTCTCAGGTCTTCTCAGAGTCGCAGTCAGACTCTTAAAATCAGATTAAGTCTCTCTCTGCCCTGTCCCAGTCACAGTCCCCGACCCCGGTGCCCCCCCTATCGATAAATTGCACTAGCCAGTTGCGATCGGCCACGAGCTTCAGACCCGCTCTCCGGCTTCCTGGGAACGGCTGTCTTGTCTGCTTGGACCCTCAAGAACCTTCATTCTCCTTTCTTGACGGCCTGCTCCTCACCTTTCATACAGCTATCCGGCGCTGTCGGCTTCTCGACCTCTCGCCTCTGATCCAACACACTCGTTAGTTATTCCAAACATTGACATCGATAATCATCGATCTGAACTCAACTGTTCCACGCCTCGAATTCCCTTACTCGTCATCGCCTGGATGTACCTGTGACTGTCTTGAGCTCTCCCAGAAGGGCTTCCGAACAGTAATTCCATGTAAGCCAGTCTTGACTCTTATCACGGAGTTAGCTTTTTGGGTTGGGGGCTAGCGCTAATCTCAACTCCTACAGCTCTGTTGTCGACCATACCACAACCCCTTTTCCCGGAAACGACGTACACCTCGTTACCTTCACTCAGCCACCATGACTGTAGCATACGATCTTACCCATCGAGGGTCATCGACACCACAACCCGGACAAGGCCAGGCGTTGGAAGACCGATTTGAGGTTTTGAAGGATATCGGAGATGGAAGCTTCGGCAGTGTTGCTCTGGCACGAGTGCGTGGTGCGGGTGCCAGTGTCGCAAGACGAGGCACTGTGGTAAGCAGACCTAGAGGCGGTAATAGGTTTGTCGGGCGGGCTGACGCTTGCTCCAGATCGCGATCAAGACGATGAAGAAGAACTTCGAGTCCTTTCAGCCATGTCTAGAACTTCGAGAGGTCGTATTTCTCCGGACGTTACCACCTCATCAACACCTTGTCCCGGCATTAGATATCTTTCTGGACCCTTTTACGAAGAAGCTTCATATTGCCATGGAGTACATGGATGGGAACCTATACCAGCTGATGAAAGCACGCGACCACAAATGCCTGGACGTTGCCAGTGTCAAGAGCATCTTGTTCCAAATCATGCAAGGGCTGGAACACATCCATGCTCATCACTTCTTCCATCGAGATATTAAGCCAGAAAATATCCTCGTGTCAACTTCAGGGCAGCAAGAATCAGGCAACTCTTTCCGTCGCTACTCGGCAATCGTGACCCCTCCGTCGACCCCTCCCGCCTACACGGTAAAGATTGCCGATTTTGGACTTGCGAGAGAGACGCAGTCAAAACTAGCTTATACTACCTATGTATCCACGAGATGGTACCGCGCTCCCGAGGTGCTGCTACGAGCAGGAGAGTATTCGTCGCCCGTTGACATCTGGGCTATTGGTGCTATGGCCGTGGAGGTCGCGACTCTTAAACCACTGTTCCCAGGAGGAAATGAAGTCGACCAGGTATGGAGAGTATGTGAGATTATGGGCAGCCCGGGAAATTGGTACAACAAGGCTGGCTCCAAGGTTGGTGGTGGGGAATGGAGGGAGGGCACCCGTCTCGCAGGTAAGCTTGGATTCTCGTTCCCGAAGATGGCTCCGCATGCCATGGATACGATCCTTCAATCGCCACAATGGCCAGCATCTCTCAGCGACTTTGTCACGTGGTGTTTGATGTGGGATCCCAAAAGCCGGCCAACATCGACTGAAGCTCTTGCACACGATTTCTTTACCGATGCCGTTGATCCCCTGAGACCGAAGTCTTCCGGTTCAAAGATGCTTGGACGGAAGCATTCCGACCTAAGTTACCGCGGGTCCAAGGAATCCACCGAGATCGCAGCCCCTACTTTGTCCTCAAAGTCTTCCTGGTTCAGGAAGTCCTTAATCGGCCGGTCCGAAAGTACCGGAACACCACAATCAACGGGAAAGGAAAATGCTGCCCCACGTCCCTCTCCGGTACCTGCAGCCAGCGAGCTGCCTGTAAGTAAGACCCGGCCACAGGCCGGTAAGAGGACAACATGGACCAATGGGCCTTCCAACATGGCTCCTATGCCAATCCTCCCAGCCATGAAGCCCATATCCCCTCTTTCAGATACTGTCACAGCACAAGCAAGTAGTAGAACACCGTCGTACACTGATGCGTACGCATCCGCTGGCCCGCGACAACCGAACACGGACGATAAGGTTGCGAAGAAGATCGGCAGGCAACTATCGGTTGCTTCTTCAAATAACCACTACGCCGATATCCACAGACAACAGGCCGAGGCGGCTCTGAATGGCAATGCTAATGGTGGACTGGCATCCCCTCCTAGCGGGCAGAAGGAAAGTTTCTTTTCCCATCTACGCAAGCGTGCGAGGAGGTTCTCGGGACGCCAATCGACGACCCCATTATCTCCAAAATCGATAGATATCGAAGCTCAAGCTGGATGTGGGCCTTGGGCGAGTAACAGATCATCAATTGTTGTAGACCCGAGTCAAGCGCCTACCCCTGCTCAGAAGGTCGACACCTACGAAGCTCTGGACAAGGCCCTGCGGAATGTGCAGCAAAATCTGGATTCGCCACAACAGGGTACCGCGCCAATACCTCCTAGCCACATGATAAATCCCAACAGCGCTCTGAAGCGTCACCACTCTCTTCCTCAACAGCAAGCTCGATCAGTCGACAACATGCGTGCTGCCGGAGGACCCATTTCTAGTAGAACTCGCCGGTCTCATGTTCCTGCAGGTGCCCGACAATACGACACTCCAGACGAAGAAGATGAGCTGCTTGACGAGGCCTTGTCGAGCACTCATAAGGCGATGAAGAAGTTGGACCGAAACTCGATTCAGAACGACGCCCGCCAGCCACTCCGGCAATCGAGTAGCAATTTGGTTCTATCCAACCCGTATCCAACCCCTTCGCCATCCGCCAGTGGCAATGCTGCTCTTTTCGGGCAGGGAACGAACCAGGGAACGAACCACGAGACGCCTTCAAAACCTCCGCCACACGGCCACAAGCAATCATCAACGCCGCCGTACGACTACGGGGAGAACGAATGGGCCGCTTCAGCGGCAGCCAGCATTTTTGCAGCCTCTAGTCGATTTTAAGAACGAGGTACATAGAATGCGATATCAGTATGTAACATAGGGAGGAAAATTTCTCTTGGAGCATCTACCATTGCACGGTGTTATGGGGAACTTGGGACCTTTGATCGGCTCCATCCGCTCCTTTGTTTAGAATCGGTGGGAGGCAGGGGTTACTAGCGTGTGCATTTTCCGGCGTCTACAAATCTCTTTTCCCTTGTTGAGGGAATAAGGGAAATAATTTGCTTTTCTTTCGTTGTCACATCTTTCTGTTTCATACCCGAAATCACGGAACTTGAGCTCTTTCGCTACCAGATCGCGGAGCATGAATTCCGAACTTGTTTATTTCGTTCCTTTAAATACCCTTTATAGACTGCACGATATAAGTTGGCTGTTGTTGTTGCTTCGAGAAAGGGGACAGAAAAAAAAAAGCAAGACGATGGGCTCTTCACAGCGCCGCTACGCAATTATAAAATCTTTCCTTTGTCACGTATGGGTCCCACGAAGAGGAGCCTGCACATAAGTTGAGTCTTGATGCCTAGTACCTGGAGTTGGAACAGGCGGGCTAGGTAGCTGAAGAATCATTTCCTATCGGGTGTGGGTCATTCGGAGGCGGAGGCTTGGGCTAGGATGGGTAAGGGGGTAGGCGGTTGGGGACTACTGCTTGTGTTTTCCTGGTCATTCTTTGTATTTTATTGTATTTTAATGCGATGGGATAGGCTGGGGGCCGGGGCATCATCCCTCGAGGTTTTAATCGGATCCGGATCTGGGAGGTTTTCAGTGTTGGGAGGGCTATCTAGCCTCGGGGTGGTTTAATCTAGGTTGGGTCCTGTTGTCTTGTTTGGTTTGGTTTTGTTTTGTTCTTTTGTGCGCACTGCTGTTGCTGCTGCCGCTGTTAATTTGGTGGAGAGTGAGAGAATTGGGGAGGAGGAAGGGGAGGGGATGGGGATGGGAAGAAGACGAAGATGAGGAGGAGGGAGGGAGGGGAGGGGAGGGAGGGAGGGAGTGATGGATGTATTGTGTTGTGGAAGCGTGGAGGAGGGCCGAGATCCATCAGGGGCAGAAAGAGAAAGAGAGAGAAGTAGGAAGAGATAACTCAATTTGGCGAGACGCCTTGTTCCCTTTTCACCACCTCCCTGCCTCTCTTCTCCTTCTCTCTGTGACTTGCTACTACTACTGGTCCCACGAACGCCCGCCCCTGCTTCCTGTGAATGAATGAATGGGTGAATGGATGGAGAGATGGACGGATGGATGCTTGGATGCTTGGTTGGCTGCAGTGTTGATATTCGGTGTAGGTTGTTTGGCCGAACGAGCTTTTCCCAACTACACTCTAGCTACTAGGTAGGTAGCGGTCGCAGAGAGGGAAAGCACGCATTTCATTTCATCACTCTACAAGTATACGCCTAGCTAGCTAGCTATTGGTGTGTGCGAGATGAGATGAAGCAAGCGGCCGCAGAGCAGGGTGGATGCTGGAGACGGGTCTGTAAAAGGGGGAGGAGGCAGGCTTTTGGAAATTCGAAAACTTCTCGTTTGGCTGGTGCAGAGCAGAGTCGAACAGAGTAGGGTAGAGGGAGAGGGGAGAGGGAGAGGGAGTCTTTGAAATGAGTGAGTGAGTGGCTTCTTTGCTCTGTTTATTATTCTTTGATAGATGGATGGATAGGTAGGTAGGGGAGGAAGGGTGATCTACTAGCCCCCTACTGCAACTACTACTACCTCCAAAGGGAATGCAGGAGCATTTAAACGGTCAGCTGATCGTCTGATAACCATCTCTTTTAAGGACGATTTTAATAGGTTGGCATGGCTGGTGGATCACCCTAGGCCGATACTTAAGATTGAATAGAATTTTGAAAACGAACGATTTAAATTATCTCAAATCGTAGCTCAAATGGAACTATCTGATTTGATTACATCGTCTGTTTTGAATACTCATTTTTTTTTCGTATAAAAACCGTCTGAGGACCGTTTCGAGCGTTTTAAGACCGTTTTGTAGCCGTCTCATGGCCGTTCTGTGGCCGCCCCTGAACTTCAAACCGTCTTCGAGAATGTGAATTGGTAAGCAATTAATCTTTCTATTGCTTGCTAGACCACCTTTGACTGCTTACCTGTGTACACCACCCCTTACACAGCCCCCCTTGCAGAGGCGGTGGGGGGG